TGTGAAACTACTCTCACTTAGCTCATTACAATTTTTTGGTGACAATGTCACTATTTTTAGCCTGACATTCAAAATATGTGAGGAGAGAGTGTTTGTGGACTATAGACAAGACATGGGTGGGGCACAAACACCAACCATTATTGTGAGGTAATTTACAGGGTTTGAGTAGTGAAAGCGAAGGAAGCATTGGAGCTGAAACTCAGGTTTCCTGCTTCAAAGCTACTGAGTGTTATTGCCCTTGGCTTAAGGACTACCTGAGAAATACAAGGTCAAGTCAACTTTACAAACGAAGGTTAGCTAGAAGGAACTTTGGAAAGGCTGGTAGAAGCACAAGTGTGGCATTTATGAGAGATCTCTGGGTTGGATATTTAAATTCTGTCCATTAAAGCAGGAGAAAATGATGAAAGAGCACAAAATGATATCGCAGACATTCAAGGGACAGTACCATTCACATTTAAGTATTGCAGAATTGAAACTGTTCTCGTCACTCTAATGGACACAGAAAAAGTCAGAGACTTGAAATGTGATTTTACTTGTTTTTGATTCTCAAAAGTTTTTCCTGTTTTGTTCATAAAGTCAGATGACTTGGAGCAACTTCATCCTGGGAATACTCTTCCTTTGTTTTATTGGACATGGGCTTGTAGGCAACTTCTTTATATTACTGGGACATTTATATACTTTTGTCATGGGTCCTGAGAAGAAACCCATAGATTGTATCCTGATCCATTTGGCGTTTGTGAATGCAATCATTATTTGTACCAAAGGAAGCATAGATATAATCACATTTTTTCACCTCAGAAATTTCCTAGGTAACATTAGTTGTAAAATGGTGATGTATCTGGCTAGAGTGGCCCGCGGCCTCTCCATCTGCACCACCTGTCTCCTCAGCGTGGTCCAGGCCATCACCATCAGCCCCCGGACCTCGCCCTGCAGAAAGTTCCAGCCCAGGTCTGCATGGCAAGTGTTTCCCTGTCTCCTGCTCTTCTGGGTCTTCAGTGCCCTGGTCAGCTCTAACCTGCTCCTCTACATCACCACAGTCCAGAGCTCCAACAGCTCTGAAATCAGACAGATCACTGGGTATTGTGACATGCTCCCCTCCGGGCAAATAATTAAGTGGCTTTTCCTCATACTGATGGCTGTGCGGGACATCGTGTTTCAGGGGCTGATGGGCTGGAGCAGCGTCTACATGGTCTTCCGCCTGTGTCAGCACCGTAAGCGCGTCCTGCACCTGCACACGTCCAGGCTGCCAGGAAATGCCAGCCCTGAGACGAGAGCTGCTCAGAGTATCCTCATGCTCATGGCCTGCTTCCTTTTCTTCTATTGGGCAGATTTCCTTTTCTCCTTCTACATTGGCACATTCTGGTCAAATAACTATACAGTTTTATTTATTAAAATATATCTGACTTCTGGTTACGCAAGTCTCAGCCCCTTTGTGCTGCTGAGCAGGGATGTCCGCGTAGGTAAATGCTGGCCAGTGCAGTGACAGGTAGGGAACCGCTTTCTACAGTGATTTCTCCAGGAATGAAGGGTGTGTTAGTGTGGGTGGGTTTCCTTTGTCTCATGTTTTAAGGTAGCAAATTTATCAAAGCTTTTAAAAAAGATGTATTTATTCATATAAGAACTGGGGTATAGGCCAGAGGTGCAGGGGTGAGGGGTGAGAGACAGAATGTGGAGCAGAATATATTGAAATATACTTCTGAGGGGAGCAACGGGTGAGACAGGAGAGGTCTGCTGCGCCATGTGGGGCAGCTCCCTGGCCTGGGATGGAACTCAGGCTGCAGTGGCTGCGGACAGCTTCACAGCGTTGCACCCTTGCACCACCAGGGCGGCTGTGCAAATTAACCAAATCATAGAAGAATGGATATTTGTTGTTTTCAGAAGAGTTCTGCTAATAAACAATCTACGGATGGTTCAATAGTTCCAGTAAGTGCGAAAGACAGTCTCCCATTCCACCATCCTTGTCGTGTGGTTTTTATAGTCTTGCTTGCACAGTTACCACTTTCTTCTTTTCTTCATCAGCATGGTAAGCGTGAAGAAAACAAGGGAAATAAAAAGAAAAAGATTCTCTCCCTTACACCTTCCTTCCCTCCTGCCCTCCTTTCCTGTTAGGAAAACGAAATTTTTTCATAAATCTTCACCAAATACGATAATACATTTGTAAACTTATATTACCTAACTCCCTCTAAATGCAATGTTGGTTGAGGAATTTTTTTTTTTGGACTGTGATATATTTCCAGACTCAAGATAGTGTAATCAAAATAACTAGGACAGATGAGTAAATTAAGAAGATGTGGTAAATGTACAAGTTGGGATAATATTCAGACACTTAAGTAAGATAAATTCTTGCCATTGCCCACAGTGCTATAAATCAAGGTGACCCCAATAATCTAAAAATAAATAAAATAAAATAAACAAACAGAAAGAGTTGTGGTATTATTAAAGACCATAGGGTGGGACTGTGGAAGAAATGAAGTGACAGAGGGCAGGAGAGGGGGTCAGGAGAGAAGAACAAGAGGGAGTTTTGTACACTTAAGACTCATATTTCTCACGAAACTGGGTGTCATTTGCTGGCTCAGCACTCGAGCTACTTCAGGTCAGCTCCTTATCCACAGGACACAGGTGAATATGTTCAAAATGGAGCCTTGGGCCTCATGAATTTTTTAGGTAACTGAGCCCTACATTTTGGGATATTGCTGGGCTGCCGGAAGAGCGTTTACTCTGCGACCCCAGGGACCAGCTCACAAGCCACACTGAACAAAACTGTGTGCATCTTCTTAGATTCCTGTTTTTATTTTGTTTTGCTTCCTTTCCTCTTCCCCAAAATGCAGACATAAACAGAAGCAATATTTCTCATGTAGTGTCTTCCAACTAACTTGCCATCTCCCTTCAACTACTTACCATCTCTGTATTATAAATCACATGGGTTCTGTGCTTCCCATTTTTCTCCAAGACTTAAGACTTACAATTCATTTTTTCCCTGAGTCCAGCCTGCTGCACTGAATTGGTTGGTTGCAGATCTTGGAACTTATTAATGTTGTACAGAGGAAGCATGTGGGAAATCCATTTTTTTCTTCTACTCAAATACTGATTCAGGTCGGGGCGTCATCAATTGGTATGGGCCTAGGCATAGGGACCAGGATTAGCTCTCCTAAGACACCAAATTTCACATCATTACTGTGGATCAAGCTAAAGGATACTGGTACTAAAAGAGCCCTTTGTCATCGGAGAACACTCTCACTTAACAGACGGGGAAACCGAGGACTCACAGGACTCCTCCTGTGATATGTCCCAGATTATTCAAGTTGCAAGAAAAATGTAGGTTGAACTCATGATTACTGTTTGTCAGAACAGTAATTATATTCACTATAATACATACCACGTAAAAGCATTAACATCATAGCAGATTATGTCCTATCTGGTGTAGTGCAAAAATCAGATCTAATCTTGGGTTGTCTCTGCCTGCCATTGACTTCATAGGTGACTCGGATAAGGCAGAAATCTATTCATTCACAAACGTTAGGTCTTTCGACATCTCAGTGAGAGTCCCCCCACCAGGACCCTGAAAGGGTCCCCGCTGCACTAGGGAGGGAAGGCCTGGTGGCCGGGAAAGCACCAGGTGAAGGGTCTTCTTGGAAGGGAGACGCGAGCTGGAAAAACAGTGCTCCAGGTGAGGCTCGAACTCACAACCTCGGCATCACCCGCACACATACTGTCGTATAAGTACCGCGCGCTAACCGATTGCGCCACTGGAGCGCTTCCGGCCCACTTCCGGTCACTCGCTGTTTCATCTACACAGAGGCAGACCCGCCCACCGCGGGCCCGGCGGTGCCAGGGCCGCCCACGAGCCCCGCAGCTGGCCTGCTCGCGCGAAGACCGGCGGGATTCAGCCGCGGACCCCGGGGCGCCCCCGCGCCGAAAGCGGAACCTAAGGCGGACACTTCCTTCCTAGGGGACCGGGAGCAGGGCGGACGCGGGGCGACGCCGAAGCCCGCGCCGTCTCCGGAGCTGCTTCCGGGGACCGAGGCGAAGCTCCGGCCGGCCCCTGCCTCCCCGCGGACGCTGCTCCTCTCGCCGCGGGAGAGACGCGCGGGGGGGTGAGGGAGGACGGGCCGTGAACCCCCTCTCGTGGGGATCCCCAAAGCCGGTCCCTGTCGCCCCCGCCCCCTCGCGTTCTCGTCCAGCTGACCGGCGAGAAGCCCAGGGACCACACAGCGGGGAGGCGGCGCCTCTCGGGCCACTTTGTGGTCGGAGGACGGGTGGGTGGACGGAGCCAGCGGCTCTTTGTCTTGTGCTGGATGTCCTCCCTGGGCCCCGAGCGGGAAAACCACGCGGCAACCGACACAGAGGCGGGGTTATTTCTGAGATTGGGGGTGTAATAGGGTAAGCTAGGTTGTAAAGGTACAAGTAGGTTAAAGACCTCATGATCGAGAGAGTTTTGGGATGGAGAGTAGGAGAAGCTCTTTCTGGAAGGCGTGTGTGTGTGTGTGTGTGTGTGTGTGTGTGTGCCCCCAGTGTTTTGGGGTCTTTCCTGTGTTGAGCGATGTAATGGAGAGTAAGAGACTTAGGAAATTAGCGGGTCTTTATACCCCAAACATTTTCTTGTCTTTTTTTTTTCTTTTTTAAAAATGCTGTTTGTCAGGTACATGTGCATAGGATGTGTTCCCCACCACCACCACCAAAAAACAAAAAAAAACTCTGTAATGTTAGAATGAATGTTGAGTCGTCTATGAAAGAGTACCGTGGAATAAAGGTATATAAAGCGTGATAACCCCTGACATCTTCTTGAAGCTTATAGTATTTGCCCTTCGAGGTAGGCTGTCTACCTCTACACCTGTAAAGGAAAGAGCAAATGCTCAGCCCTGTGCAACCAGGCTGATAAAGGAGTCTGTGGTATAGGAGGAAAGTATACTGAACTTAATAACTCAAGGGTTGTTTTCTATGAATAAACAGACCCTAAGAAAACCCTAAGTTTCTTCTTCTATGTAAATTGTGTTGGGAACTCAACATCAGTCCATTTTTCAGACAAATTATCAGGTTTCTGATCATTAAGATAAATTAAGCCCTAAGGCTTAAGGAGTCCACTGTTTATGTAAAGAATTCACCTCTCTTTTAAGCATCTAAAGTGAAATTAGTTGTTTACCAACCCCTGAGACGATTGTCGCGGCACAGGTCATACCTGCGTTCTGTACCTCAGAGGAAGAACCCTGAGAGAAACTGTCTTGCGAACCCCATTCCAAGTGCACCGAAGAATCGTGCGCTCTGGGGTGACCCACTTGAAAGAAGCTAAGAGCTCCAAGGGTAATCACCGGCCAGGAGCAGCATCCGCACGATCTGGGCCGGGACAGGCAAGTCCTCCAAATGATTCTATGCTGTTAAAGTTAAAAAACTACCGGGTCAGACTGTGCTCACCAGAAGTGATGGACACTGTTCAGACCAGCCTCTACCAACGCAACTGAGCCACTGCGGAGATCGCCTAGTGTGGTGGAAGGGAACTGCTGTGATGGCAAAGCACCCCCACCCCCATTTCCAAGAGCGTCGCTGGGGGAACTCGGGTAGGGAGGTTGTTCTGGGGCTCTACCACCTCAAAAGACCGGAAATATTATTGTACCTTTAGTGCCTAAAATCATATGTTGACTAACAGTGGATTGCTTCCTGAAGACTTCAATCTTCTGTTTAATTAATTGCCTCACCACTCAGTGTGTTTGTTCTTTTGTAGTAACATGACTAAATTAGGCCCCCCACTTGTATAATATGTATAATAATACATATATAATAATATGTACTATATAGAATGTTTGAAATGTGCACTAAGAAAAACAGCTGTTTCTGTCCTCATGAAATCAAAACATTTCTAGATGGCACATTTGGACAGAAGCATGACAGTAGAAAAAGTGGACAGCTATTTATTCACTCAGCCAGTGAGCTAATATTAATTGGGCATCTCCTATGTTTATCAACAAAGACGACCATGGAAGCTGTTCAAATCCATTGATATATCAGAAGGCAGGAAAAAACACATCACTGGAACACAAGAGTAGCAAAAGACAGTATTTCTAGTCCAAAAGCCCAGAAAATTCTGTGAATGCTGGAAAGGCATGGTTTCCATTGCTTCAGGGTATAAGAGACTTCTGATGCAGCATTAACTTATTTGTGGATATTTTCAAGTGGGGTTGATTATAATTGTATTCTTTGAAAATCAGGAAATAGTAAAGCCTTTTGGGAAATGGTGTTTGATACTTTATTTTAAAGATAAACACAAACTTTCACCTGCCTTCTTAGCGCAGTAGGCAGCGCGTCAGTCTCATAATCTGAAGGTCCTGAGTTCGAGCCTCAGAGAGGGCAGTTGTACTTTTTTGGTGGTTCACAGCCAAAGTCTATTGCTTAACAATAGACTGGGGAAAAAAGGAAATAGGCAAAAATTGAAAAGTAAAATTAGCAGACAAGGATTTAAGGACAATTTCGATATTATCTAACAATGGCAAACTTATTTTGCTAGCTTTTGGGCTTCCCAGTGGGTGAGTGAGAGAAGTTGAAAAAGTTTAGGTTAAAAGAGAAACTTCAGGCAGGCATAAAAACGTGGATTCCACCGTTCCTGGTGTAATGGTCCTGCTGCAATACTGGCATAACATGGACTGATTTTCTGGGAATGTTTGAGCTTGTTAAATGCTAAAAAATGATATGGCAACTAAGCATGGAAAATAAAATTTGAAAGTTTAGTTTTAACGTGAGCAGTTCAGAAGGGACTCCGCTCAGTGTCGTTGGCAATATGTCATTCTCATAACCTGAGGTTCTGGAGCTCACATTTTGGAGAAAGTAATCTTCTCCTGTTTCCATTGGGTCCTGTGTGGCATTTTGATTTAAAAACCACTTTATCTTTATGCACAATTAATATCATTGTTATCCTTATCACTCCCACTCATTTGGAGCTGCAATTTAAATTATTTCTATTACAGGTGGATTTATTACAAATGGGCTGGCTATGACCTGATGCATGGGGCTGAAATGAGTCCAGAAAAATAATGTCCCCTTCATGTCCTAAATGGAATATTGTATTGTCCCCTAAACAATGATCACCATTCCTCCATTCCTTCCATTCCCCTTTGCAACAACAAAATATCTAATCCAGCTCTTGGGCTTCTTTCCATACCATCTCTTTTCAGGGGATCCTAACCTCATTGCAAAAAAATTAAATCTCCTTGTTTCATCTCTTTTACCAGTGACTAGTAACATGAAGAAGGTTTTCTTCAATCAATTAAACACCCCACACAAAAGGAGTTTCCATTTCTCTGCCTGTGAACTTTGTCTTGAGAGTGTAAGGAGAGTTCAGAAGTAACTGCAGTATGAGGTCTGTATACTGAGGATGGAGCCAGTGGATCAGCCAATATGTGACTTTCCTTCCATGTGCAATTAATTTAAAAGGCAAATGACAGTTCTTTGTCTGTTTATCGCTAAAGATTTCATAAATACTAATTTTGTGAACATTCATTTTAAGCTGTATGACCACCTGAATTTTACAATCCGCAAACCAGTCACTTCAGTGCCACAGACACTATGGGTTTGAGGTGCACTTGGCTCACTGCTTTACCCCACACACATCAGTGGGGTGGCTCTTTCCCATCTCAGCCTCAGTGGAACTCAACCTTCCAAACTTTATCTGACTTTGGGTCTACTGGGCGGAATGCTCCACCCTGATCCTGGCACTGCCATCTCCATCCTGGAGATGTACAGAGCCACGGTGAATAAACCTCAGGGACATCCTCAGAGAAGCCAGACCAACTACCAAAGATTGTAGCCTACCTCTCATCTGACCATCACACACACTGATACCACAGATCTGTGGGGTCCTTTTGACCCAAAGTCAGTGTTTTTCAAGCCTGTACACATTTCTCTCGATCCTCTATCATTCATGCAGACTTTTAAAAAGTACTTAGACATAAGCATTCTGCCCCCAAGAGCCTTACAATCTAATCTGAAAGATGGTTGAGCAACAAGATATTCACTACTTGGCCAACAAAATAGCACAAGAGAGATGTGTGCCTTAGAAAATCATAATAGGAGTCCAATGTATCCCAGAGGAGGGTTTGGGATCTAACAATCTGTTGGACAAAGAGTAATGCTAGGCTGAGCTTCTGTATGTGACATCTCTTTAAATTCAGTATCTGTGGAGTCAAGTGTGAGAATGGGAAAATAGGAATGAAGAATGGGGCAGAGGCAAGAGGCCAAGTTGCTCTAATACAAAAACAAAAACAAAAAAACTTCCCTTACCCAGCTCTTTCAAAGGGCAGAGCTTCAGGAAGTAAGCGTAACTTTAAAAATCCATTGCAAGAGCTAGTGAGGACTGAGAAATAGTTGGAAATGTGAAAAGATGAAAAACCTTGATCTTTTTATCTGTGTTTCCCTCTCGTTCTCTTTTTCAAGTTACTCCCTGATTCCGGTTTCCTTACAAATCTCAGAACTGTTAAATTCCATTCATAACTGATCCTCCTCCAAGATACAACTCCAAAAATACAAAGACAATTATATGGGCTCTGTACCACCAACATTAAAAGGGTGCAGCAAATGAGTTTACTACAGCCTTCTATTCTCCCGTGACTTTTGTATCACACTTTTAACAAAACCAACTGACAGCCACGTGGCCCGTACGGGGATCGAACCCGCGACCTTGGCGTTATTAGCACCACGCTCTAACCAACTGAGCTAACCGGCCAAGCGACACGCGACTGCTGTTTATATAACTGGATAATTAAAAGTGACTATTATTTCAGCCACCAGAGGGTTTTACCAGGAGTTTTGATCCTCGGTTTATTCTAAATCCAAAAACAAAGTCCTACAGAGGAAAAGTCAAATACTATTTGCTTTGGTATTGAAAATGCAACCTCAGCACCCGTCTGCGAGTGTCTTTATTTCCTTGTACTTTATGCCATAGTTTTTGGGCGACCCTCGAAGAAATCGACGAAAGACGCAAACACCACCACTTGCTCTTCACCTGCTGTCAGCGGCACGTGACAGCGGCCTCTCAGCCACCTCTGCACCCTAAGTAGCGCATTTCCCACCGTGTTCTCCATCCATCACTCCCCAAAGAGTATTTGACCCCCCCTTCCCCAACCCCCTGTCACATTTTTATTTAAATTGGAAAATCACTCCCATGTTTCTACTTGAAAACGACACTTTAGACGACTAAGCATTTCGTTTCTTCTCCATGAAACAAGCCGAGTGGATCGTCACCTTGGATACAGAAGGACTCACCTGGAATTCCGAGTCGGGCTCTGCAGACTTGAGACAGACCCCCCCAGGGAGCGCCACAGGTCCCGCCGTCCAAGGAGGTTGAGACTCTCGCCAAAGATAAAGCCTGATTCCTCATGCTCAGGCTTCTGCCTGGCTGGACTTGAGAGAAAACCAGGGCTCCTAGCATCCGTTTTAACATCCGTTTGTCGGATTCCGGGTTACTGGCTTCGCAGCAGGCTTGGTCCGCAGGCCGGTTGCAATCCCAGGGAAACCCATAGTCCCCAGGAACGAATAACATGACAGCCGCGTAATGAATTAATGACGGAATAAAGGAGTCTCGTTTCGCTGCCTGGTTTCCGTGCAGACCTTCAGCCCCTCCGCCTGGACACTTTTGCTAACGTCCTGTTTCTTCCCGCGTGGACCTATAGTGGAAACCAGAAAGATGCAGTTACTCCACTTTAAAGATGTCCGATAGTTCCATGTTCTTCTATGCCTCCCCAAAAGTGATTTCTACATCTGCAATGAGGTTTCACCCCGCGGAAAGGTGACGCTCAACCTAGGGCGGGCAAGGATTCCCCCGGCACAGCAGGTGCGGAGACTCACGCTTCCCTCGCCCTGCTCCGCTCTCTGCGACAAGCGGTTGTCGGCAGCTCAGGACTGCGGGGTTCTACCGCCACCTAGCGGTAGCCAGGCTGTACCGCCACCTAGCAGGAGCCGGGTTGAAAGAGGACTTGGGTAAAACGGTCCTTGAATAGCGGAGCGGGGAGCGCGTGTCAAAAGGGGATCCGAATGGTGGAGGCGGGAAAGCTCTAGGCCTAATACGTTTTCACTTTCTTGGTATTTTCGAATAGAAGAAACTAAATCTCCATCGCAAAAATTGGCAGCCATCCCAGGTGACCTGAATTATCTCTAAGAGAAGCTGGAAGACTGCGGTTAACACAAATGGCAGAGAGGGGTCGAGACGCTTTTGAAAGAAAAAAAAGCTGCCCTCTCTGAGGCTCGAACTCAGGACCTTCAGATTATGAGACTGACGCGCTGCCCACTGCGCTAAGAAGGCGACGAAAGCACCCGTTTGGCATTGTTCTAAAGGAATCGTCGCATTTCTTTCCCTGCTGACCTCACAGCTTTCTACTCTTGATTCAGGGTTATTTCTTATCCTTAGCCCCGCGCTCCGAAGATGTGTGGTTAGTACACTGTACTTTCATGCCTGACGTCGGACCAGTATCTTTCCCCTTATTTTCTATTGGTCAGGATAATCTCTCGAGATAGTTGTTTTTTTTTTTTTAATTTTAGTGAGTAGACACAAAATAGTCGAGTGAGAGATTAACTCTAAGACATGTCTACAATCCACACTTACCTCTTAATTTAAATCTATTATTTCCACCTATGTTGCCATTTGCCCTTAAAATATCACTGATTTTATGGCTGCATGCTTTCTTTACCTCTGTCTACCAACACTTCTGATTTTATTTAGTCCAAATTTATCTTTTTATTTTCTGTAACACTACACATCATCCCCACTTACTTATGAAAATGAGGCTCAGCAGAATTAAATCCACAACTAAGTGGCAAAGACACTTAAAGCAGATTTTGTTGATTCCCAAAAAAGTATGCTTTCTGTACTCCTCACCATTCTTCCCCACATCACCGCACTTACTCATTAAGCAAATATTTATAAAATCGTAGACATTCATTCACAATGTGCCATTTACCTAACACCTGGGTTCAGCACCACTAAGGCAACCTTGTCTTGAGGTCCTCAAATCCCCTCAAATACCTGAGATCACCCCATCTTAAGGTGGAGTGCCTAGATTCATTGAAGCCTTGAGGTACACTTAGGGCATATGAGAAACGAGCCTATTTTCATAACAAGACTTTATTATGAAAAACAATGGGAAACACAGATCTTTGTGAATTAGTCTCCAAAACAAGGTAAACAAGAGAATATTCAGGACTATATCAAAGCTTCTGCATGGTGAAAGAAATGATCACTAAAACAAAATGTGTATGTTTCAGGGTACAGGCTTCCATCTCTGAAAATGCATGTATCCATATCATGCCTCCCCCACTAGAAACCCAATAATTCTCCACCATAACCCACTGGGTCCCCTCCAGGCTTTATTTATGCCTCCTGTCATACTCTTCTGAGAGTCTCAATTCTGCAATCAGACTTTAAAGGTTTCCTTTGTTCTGGTCCGTCCCTTTGCTTTTTTATATTCCACACGTGAGTGAAATAATCTGGTGTTTGTCTTTCTCCTTCTTAGTTCTCTTAGCATAACCCCCTTTAGTATCATCCGAGTTTTGCTAGTAGCAAGACTTCATCCTTTGTTATAGCTGAGTAATATTCCACTGTTTATGTATATAGTATATATGTACATATATTCTGTGTGTGTGTGTGTGTATATATATATATATATACACATACGTGCATACACACACATACACACTGCATCTTTAGCCACTCATCTGCCATTGCACACATTTAGGTTGTTCCCATAACTTGGTTGTTGTAAATAGCATTGAAGTGAACATTCCTTCAAATCGGTGTTTCTGTGTTCTTTTTAAAAGCATAAAGGGTCCTTATAGGAGAAAGTTCAAGGGCCACTACCAGACTGTATCTGCACTATTCCTGGAGTCCCTCTCCTTTCATTCCATCCTTCATAAGCCTTGAGAACATGCTCTGTGCCAGGACTTCGCTGAGCTCGGGGACTTAAAGGAACTGGACAATCCTTCACCTCAAGAGCTGACAGGTTAAACAAAGACCCAGATCCTAGTTTCTCAAACTTCCTCATTCTTACAGTTGAATATACCCTCCTAAGTATCTCACTTGTGGACATAATCTTTCTGCTCTGTACTAGCTTGCTAGGGCTGCCATAACAAAATACCACAGACATGGGGAGCTTAAACAGAATTTTTTTCTCACAGTTCAGAAGCTGAGGCGTCCCAGATCAAGGCAGCAGCCAGTTTGGTTTCTCCACAGGCCCCTCTCCTTGCCTTATAGGTGCTCACCTCTTGGAGTGTCCCAGTTGGTCTTTCTTTGATGTGTCTGGTGTCCCTCTTTTTGTGTCCTCATCTTTCTGTAATTAATTTATTCTTAACTGAGGTAATATAATCTCTTCTTCCTATAAGAACACCAGTCCGATTGGATTAGGGTCCACTTTATTGACCTCTTGTAACTTAATCGCTGATCTAAAGGCCTTCAAATAGTCACATATGAGGTTTCTAGGGCTAGAGTTTCAACATATTAATGGAACACAATTCAGCCCATGACCTGCTCAATTATGTTCACATGCTCCCTTTGAGATTTTCAAGGAAGTCACTATTTCCCTTGATGAATTATTTCAAGATCCCTCATTTAAAAGGCTGTTCATTTGCCCTTTAAGGCTAGTTTCTCCTTTCTGCCTGGTGCATACATCCACGATTTCTCCTCATCTCCATAGTTCAAGGCCCAAGCTTGATACTTTCATTCCTGTATGATTTTGGTTTTTCCCTCCAAAGCCTAGGATTCCTTGTAAGGAAAGTGCAGTGGGAATGAGCTACAATCCAAACTGTCAAGTGAGCACAGAGTACCACACAACTCAGAAAAACTCGATTCCAAGTCCTGATTCTGAAGCCATTGGTAAACTTCAGCCATGTGTTATCTTCTTATTCACTCACGTGAATGCCAACTTTATAGGATCTAATGCAGGTCTGAGAAAGAGGGCAGGAGGTAATGTTAATCCTGCTCTTGTTTCTACCCAAATGGTTTCTATAGCTGGAAACTGTAGCATCCATGCCATGATGGGGTGATTCTTCTAATCACAACACAGAAATTTCCCTAAAGTTAGGAATATCTTTTCTGATGAACTCTCCCCTTGATGAACTCTTGTTTATCTTGGTCAACAGCAGTAAAGGATTTGCCTGTCAAACCACTCTGAAATAGCTGATGGTCTTCTCCTCCTCCACGTTTAGGGTTATAATTTTCCTTTTTTTTATGTGATAAAAGGGAGATAAGCCAGGGGGAGGAAAAACAAATACTGGATGATTTTATTCACAGGTGGAATACAGAGACAAAAAAAAAAACAAGGAACTGACCAAATTAAACCAAAACGAAATTGTGAAGTAGGACTACAGAATTGAGGGTTCTGGAGGGGGTTGTGGGACAGGAGCAAAGTGTGCCGGGGGCCCCATGGCCTTGGTAAAGGGATGTACACTGTCTAGGGAGGGTGGAGCATGGTGAGGACCTACCTCCTGAATCACCATTGTTACCCCCAAAACAAATAAATAAAATTGAGTATTTTAAATGCATCCTTTTTTCATTACATAGCAAAATCCCTACACTCCCTTTTCAAAGTCTAGTCCAACATGTTTCATAAAACCTCTCGTACATGCTCAACCTCTTCAAACCCTTTTAAATTCTTGCTTAGATATTTGTGGGGGAAGCTGATTAAAATGCTTTCTGCATTCCTACCCACCACCACTTAAAACTAGAATAGGTAGAGGAAGGGAACATATCTGAGATATATTTATATCTCAAAACAGTTACCATGAACATAAAGAACAGCTGATAGTAGACAAGGAATAATCTGCTTTCTGTTCTGGCTTTAAACAGATTTGACATTGTGTCATGTTAAAGACAGAGAAGTGGTAGCTACTGATCAGAACAAGAAACCACCCAAAGGTGCAAGTAATTCAGAAAAATGCAATTCATGGCTTATAGATAGACAGAACACTTTCATTTTATTTGTAACTCCTGACAGAAATCATATACTCTTTACACCCATATTCAAAAATTGCAAATGTCAAGTGACCTCACTATGCTATGTACATTTTTCATCTGTATTTGTGCTTAGACTACACATTGGCCACTGCCACTCAGATCCCTGTGATACCATCGGTTGGCAGGATTAAGTCACCATCCTAAAAAACAAATTAAGAGATAGCCATGTAACTTCATAAATATACCCACACTAAGCACTGTTACATGAATGAGACCAACCCAAGATATAAAAATATGAAGGGGCCTTTCTGGTGATGGCGCAAGGGGTTAAAGCCAAGTATCAGGAAGCTATTGGCAACCACTGAAGCTAGAGTTCAATCTCCAGCCAGGGAGCTGACCCACACCGAGTAGCAGACCTCTCCTGTCTCCCCGCTGTTCCCCTCAGCAGTGTATTTCAGTAGATCTACTTGTTATACTCCCTATTCTGTCTCGGGTGAATCCTCCTAACCCCTGAACCTCTTATCTGTACCACAGTACTTGTACACATAAATAAATCTTTAAAAATATATACAAAAAGCTCTATCTAAGTATTCACCCCCAGTTTATTTTACTCACTGAGATGCACTCCTTCCCTGTTTCCATATGAAGATGTAGGCAGTTTCATGATACATCCCAAGTGACACAAACTTAATCCCAAATTAAAATGCTAAACTCTATGTAACACTCTGGAATTCCAAACTGACCTAAACATCTCTTTGACTCATGTTGAGTGACACTGGATTGTTGCTAAGGAAAATGTTTCAGCTCTTTTTCCTTACCCTAAACTTATACCCTTTACCAGCCATTTTGTTAACTAACACTCTGACCCTTCTAAGTTTTGAGTGTAGTGGAGGATGAGTTAAGGTGTGGGTGGGAAGTTGGTGGGTGAGGAAGGAGGAAAGAAATGTTTTTTACACCGTGATATGTTATCATACTCTCTGACTGCTTAAAAACCAGGATCAATGCTACTCAATTAAAAAAAAAAATTTGAGGCCTTCCTTTAGTGCAGGGGTTAAAGTCTCAGCGCTATCAAGCTATCTGCAGCCACTACAGCAGGAGTTCGATTCCCTGCCAGGGCGTGATCCACATGGTGCAGCCGACCTCACCTATCTTGCCCGCTGCTCCCCTCAGCAGTGTATTTCAATGCTTGTTCTGCTGCCCATTCTGTCTGTGAAAATCCTCTCACCTCCTGCATCTCTAGCCTACACCCCAGTTCTTATATGCATAAATAAAAACAAATCTTTTAGAAATAATTTTTAATTATCAAGAAAAAAAGATACTACAGCTCCTGACAGAGATACCAAGTGAGTATCTTTACATGGTCCAAGAAGTTTTTCTGAGAACTCAAAAAAACAGTTAAGAAGTGCAAAGCCAAGAATTATCACACAGAAACGGACACGTAAAGTCACTGCCCTTTACCCAATACAGACCTTCCTCCAAAGACCTTTCTTTCTAGCTTTTTCCAAGGAAGTTGTCTAAGGATCTGGTTTCTGACATGGAACCTCCACACTTTGGATGCTTGGGGGGAGAACAAAGCTTGACAGCTTGTTGAAACACCTAGAACATGCATCACAAAATACAGACACTAGAGGGCACAAGAGATTGTGCGTGCCAGAAAAAAGAACTTGACAAACCTTTAACTGGGGGAAATTACAAGCGCCAGCACAAACAAAGCTGAGATTTCAGATAGCTTCAGAATCTCTAGTTAGGCTTGACTGGTGAAGCACTTCTTCTGTAACCACGTCTTACTTAAAGAAAAAAAAATCCTACTTAGCAATATTTATTTCTAAACAATTTAACTTGCCTGTTTGGGATTTATATACACATGAAATCTTACAGGAGGTGATTAGGTAGGCCTGGCTTTCATGTAAACATGTCACTATGCTTTTAAATGCCATCCATCTTGGTGGATTTTTCTCGAACATTTTCATTGCTATATAGATGCCCATGTACGAATACATCAGCTTATCTAACCCTACTACCACTGACGAATATTTCAGTTGCACCTGGTTGTCAACTACTGCAAAATAATACTATTCTAAACATTTATGAAAATGAATACTGGTATATGTAAATATGCATTTCTAGAGCATATAAAAATTGGTGAAACTGTTGACAAGGAACAAGTCTTTAGATAGATATTGCTACCCATCTTTCCAAACTTGCGGCTATCAATTCATACTCCCAGTAGTAATGTGAGTGTTCTCGTTTTTCTTAGCTCACCTCACTGTGATGATTCAATGTGATCATTAGGCATCTTCTGTTTATTTTCCTAATTTCTGTTTATTGCACTTTAATCTATGCTCTGTATTACGTTTTCTTTGAAAACACAAATTTCTTACTTGATACCACTGCTTAAAACCCTTCAAGAACTTAATTTTATCTTTTAAAAATATATATAATAGTTTATTTTTACATCATTTTGTGTATTTTTTCTTCCAGTTGTAATCCACATGGGCTTCCCATCACACATCACCCATGTACCATCACCACAGTCCAGTGCATTTTCTTCCAACTGTTTTTGATCCCATTCCCCACTCCACGCTGTAAAATGTCTCTGGTCTATAGCTGTTCATTATTATTATTTTCTCACCTGGTCCGTTATACTCCCGCTATGAGTGAAACCATCGGTATTTTTCCTTTTCTTTCTGGCTTATTTCACTAAACATGATGTTTTCCAGCTCCATCCATGTTACTGCAAAAGGCATGTGTTTATTTTTTTTGGTTTCAAGCACTTAAATCTTAATAGTTAAAACTTTAACTTTGATTTCCTTAAAACCCATGCTTAACTCTCAAACTGACCCTTCCCCTCTGACACTTTAAGTTTTACTAGAAAATGAAACTTAAGTGACTCAGTTTAAGCATAAGTCTGTGCAATAATTCCTTTAAAGCCTTCCCTGATGCCAACTATTATTTGTTTTAAGAAGCTCTATTTGAATCTCCACTATGTCCATTCTCTTAGATGGTTTGTCTTAGTGTGAAGCCTAACGATAAAGTGCCTGACTCCTAAGTGTGAAAGTTGCTTTAGAAAAATATTAAAAAAAAAAAGACAATGTAGTATCTAATGAGGATTCAAAAACCTTTCAAAGGTAACCCCCCTGTTTCTATGAAATACATCTTTCAAAAAAGCTACCTCAAATCGGTTGACCCTGTCAATGGGCTCACACCTCCTACACAGACTCGTATAGCAGGGAAACAGAACAAAGTCGATAACTACATATTCTTAGTAGTCGTCGTCCTTTCTCTTGACACATGAGGACTTTCAAAATAGCTTTTCCTTGAACAAATGAGCAGGGAGAATAATCTTTATACACAGGTTAACATATATACTTATACATACACACATATAAGATATACGTATGTATGGATAAAAGACATCGTTCCCTCTGAGGAAAATCTCATTTCTGCTCCAACCTAAACACAGATGATTACTTTTAGTTGATTCCAGGCTGGAACCTCCAGATACCAGAGCAGTCCCGTCCTCTTTTGTAGCCTCCCATCACACAAGGTCACTACTAACCACCCTTTAACGCATTTCACCATCTCGCCAGCCACGTTTGGTGACAGGGCGCTTTCGCGGGGCTCCGGGGTCCACCATTTCTTCCAGGGAGATCCTTCTGGGTGTTTTTGTGAGCGTCGACCGCATCCATTTCTTGAGGAAAACGAACAGAAAGCGCGGAAACTGCAGGACACAGAACGGAGCTGTCGACACTGCCTCTCCGCGTCCTCCCTCCGTCCCCAAGCTTGGGCGGCGTCCGCGGAGCTCCCAGCGCCTCACCTGCTCCACCCGAAACGCCCCTGGCCGCGGAGCGCAGGCGCCCCCGGGGCCCCGCCCCGTCCCAGAGGCTGGGCTCCTATTGGCTCAAAGGACCGGGGTGGAGCGCCGAGGTCGCGGGAGCGGGTGGTCACGTGACTCGAGGGGGCGGGGCTGCGCCGGCTGCTTCTCAGCCGGGCTGAAAGGACTCGCGTAGCCGGCCTGGTCGGCCCGTGAAGCGCCCGCTGGCCGGCCCGGCCCCCACACCCCGCTCCGAGCAGTTCAAAGAGAGCTGCTCCTGACTCTCGTTGCCCGCCCTTCCCGATTCGCTTTCCTTCTTTTTCCCCGAAGGTGGGCCCTTAGGTCCATCGCCGCAGAGCCTGCGACCGCTGGGAAGCCCAAATCCGAGTGTCCGGAGAGTAACCGGAAGTGCTGTCCCAGGCCGAGGGGCGGCGCCCGCGGCTGCCGGGGTAAGCGGGGCCCGCCGGGCCGGGGAGGGGCTCGGCTTCGGGGTGGGGGGGGAGGGGCGCGTGGGACCGGAGACAGCCCCCCACCCCCGCCCGCCCACCTTCGCCCACCCGCTCGGGTCTCAGCTGGGGGAGCACCCACGATCTGTGCCTGTGAGCGGGGTCTGAGTCCCCCTGACAGCGAGCCCCCCTGAAAGGTGGTCAGTGAAAAGTTGAAAGAGAGAAGCTTCCTGTGGTCTTTCCTGTAGATAATAAACACTGCGGGGCACTTTCCTAAGCCATCTACGGCTACATACTGGGGGTGAGAAACCCAAGGACGTTGAATGGACCTCCCCCTTCCCCCCATCGTTAGAGATGAGTTGTGTTGCACTTCACTCTGTATCCTAAAAGATTGGATTTGTTGAATCATTCCATACCATCACATAGAACTTTATGTTATGTACATTTATCTTATACATCTTGGGGCTTATTTATAGTGGTAAAAGAATGGGCCCTGTAGATAACGTGAGCAAAAACCAATCAGCGGAAGAAAAAACTACCAAACGAGAAAAATAGAACTTGGGATTTTATTGTGAAGTTAACGTTAGTCGTTATCCCTAAGGATTCTTGGTGTTTTGTCCAGAGCTGGCTACCGGGTGGCTACCAGTGGCAGGATAGATAGAATGGGTTGATTGGAGGATGCTGGCTAGTAAATGGGACCAATATTTAGATGTCTGTCCAGTTGCATAAAAATGATACATTTCCCCAAGTCATCCTCTACGTTGATTTTTCCTCTAGGAGAGGGGAGAATTGAGTGTTGTCAATAATTATGGACTAGAGAGCTACTGGAGCCAAAAGGAACACAGTCTTGAGACTTTATTGTTATGGTAAGTGACTATATATAAGACTGCTGTGTGTTTCTGTGTAAATGTGAAAGGGAGAGGACAAGAAGGAAGGAAAGGTCCATGAGGGAAAGATACCTAAAATAACAGTGATAAAACGGGGTCTTACCCTGCCAATTTAAGTGTATTTTCTACCCTATCCAACATGCCTATTCACAATAGGCTGAAGAATTGCTTGGTGACTGACTGGCAGCCCAAGAAGACACAGTGCACAGTATTGGGCTCTAGAATCAGTAGCAGGAAGAGCTAAATCCTGGTTCTGCTGTATGCTACATGGTAGCTATATGAGTTCTTGGGTAATTGTTTAACTGCCATAAGCATCTGGTTTTCTTATCTGTAAGGGGCAAACATTGCTGTCAATACCCATTTTACAGAGTTTTTGGAAAGATAACAGAATTCAGTTACTTGGTAGAAAATAATAATTCCTAGCCTCGGGCCTGATATAGTAAGTACCTGTTTTCTAGATAATGCTTTATTGACTTTATCTACTTGTCCCCTATATAGTTTAGGCAGCCTTAAACTTTGAAATTTTATCATCAATCTATATATGATTGATTTTTTACCTGCCTCACTCTGTACACTCTGGCCCTGGGTATGAAAGAGAAAACCAGTCTCTTTCCAGGGTGAGGTGTAAGAAGAATCTCTTACAGGAAGGTACCGGGAAGCTAAGGCTGGAGAGATCTATTTGGGTTTGACAGATGAGTAGTCAGGGCTACTGGCTTGACCTGTTCTGGCTGCTGCAGCTCCAGGGATGATCACTGGCCCTTCATTCATTCAACAGATGTATTCAGTGTCCTGGGGATATTGCAGTGAACAAAAGACTAAGTAATTTACTAAGAATCTAGAAGTTATGTTCTCAGGAGGAGAGACAAACAGATAAAAAATACATGCCCAGAGTTGGATGCTGATAAATGCTATGGAGAGAAATAAAACAGGATAAGGGGACATCTCCCTCTCAGATAAAGTAGTCCCTGTGCCCTTTCTTGAGGAAGTAAATTTCAGGCGGAGATGTGAATCAAATAATGGAGCATTTTAGGCAGGAGCAGTAAGTATAGAGGTTCTCAGGTGGCCTCAGAAAGAAGTTGGGTGGAGGTGCCCCACTATGTAGGGCGGCAAGAACTTTGGGTTTATTGTGAATGTGATAAGAAGTAATTACACTGTTTTAAACTAGGAGATGTTGTGGTCTACTTTAACTTTTAACAACCAGGCTGTATTTTATTTTCTAGGTGCCGACATCTAAGATATGAATAAGAAAACAGCTTCCTTATTTTTTAAATTGTATGGTCCTGATACTTCATGGCTTATTGGCAGTATGGGGCAATTACGATACACTGGGCTGAGAAGTTTAGGGACTGCTCTTACCAAGCTCAGAATCCTTTATTTTGGCTCTATTCTTCTTTTAACCTTAATAGTAAATACTCACTTTTTAAAGGTAGAAATCCTATAAACCCATCATCTTACTATAGCTGTTTGTCTGTACATCTTTATTTAGTTGTGATTCTTAAATCTTCCGTCCTTCCTAGCATTTCACCTAAATGTTTCCTAGTTTTTGTATAATCTTTGTATTAATCATTAACTGAGTCGTCTTATTATTTAGTTGACTTTCTAGTATATTTTGAAGAAGATTTATACAGTTGGCAGACATAGAGGAGGTGACCACTGCATTAAGGGTTTTTGTGCATGTAAAGATGGAATTAATAAATCTGTTTAAAAAAAAAAAAAAAAGATGGAGTTAAGTAGAACTTAACCATTTATTGAGCATCTGTCGAGATCCCGGTACTGAGCCAAGTCTTTTACTGAGTGTCTCGGCTCTCACAGCAACTCCTGTAGGCATGTTCTAGTGTCCTCCCTACGCTATCCAAGAGGAAGTAGAAGCTGGAGGGAGCTAAGTCATGTACCCAAGTTCTCACAGGAGCTCAGTGGGAATGTGAGTCAAAATGTGATTCCAGAACTTAAACATTCACTTTTAACTCGCACAGTATACCAACTCCCAGGTGCTATGAAAGACAGAATAAAATACCTTTTAATCGTGAAGTAATTTCAGACTTATAGAAAAGTGACCAGTAGTAGAAGGGATGCTGCGAAGTCTGGCCCACGGTCCCCTGAATGTTACCCTTTTATTGTGCTTGTGATTTAGTCTCTTTATATACAGACACATATGTGCAGTTTTCTGAGTCTTTGGAGAGTAAGTTATAAACACCGTGCCTTGTGAACTGAGAGAATTAAACCCTAAAGTCCTAAGATAGGCTAAGCCCTAAAGTCTTAGACAATCAAGCCCTGTAGTCCCAGGGTATGTAATTGACTTCTCTTCACATACAGGGCTATTACTTACATGCCCTCCTTTGGAGAACTGAGAAAAAAGTTGTTCAGATCTTTTTCTGTAGGACTGTGTTTCCAGCAGAATTCAAGTCAACAAGGCCTGTCCTAAATACTCAGGGTTTCTTCCCCTGACCAGAGGCTGTTCTCTTGTATTACCATGACAGTCAGCAAAGGCAGGAAACTTTCATACAGGCCTATTATGTAACCTCCAGACCTTATTCAGATTTAACCAATTGTTCTACTAACGCCCTTGGCCAGGGAAAGACAGATTTTCGCTGTCCAAGGTGGCAGCCACCATCACCATTTCATTTAATTGTCTTTATTGTGGAACATATCCTCAGACTGTCTTAACCTTGACGTTAAAAAAAGTTTAAGCCCTTTACCTGGTGGAGTTCCCCTTAATTTGGGTTTATCTGCTATTTCACAATTAAACTCAAGTCATGTGTTTTTGGGGAGATACCATAGAAGAGTGTTCCTCATTTTCCAACACCTGAGGAGGTGTGCGATACATCTTGTTACCTATGTTAACTAACTTTGGTCACTTCGTATAGGTGGTTTTCTCCAGGTTTTTATACTGTGAAGCTACTTTTTGTCTTTGTAATTATTAATACTCAGTTGGGAGACATTTTCAGATTGTATAAATACTCTGATTTTCATTAACTTTTCACCCACAGAAACAGGACTCTTCTTTTGATCAGACATAGTGCATTTTGTAAATTCCAGTATTCTACGCTGAGCTATTGGCTTTTTAATATAAAAAGCTTTCATTTTTCCCCTCTACTTTTTACTTTTTTTTTTTAAGTGAATATGGATTCTTATAGTGTTCCTCATTTATCACTGCCATCGTGTCTTTCTGTGTTCCATTTATTCCAGCTTTGTGCGAGGCAGTCTCTTCACCCGGGCGCCTGGCTCCTGGAGGCGTGTTCGCCCATCCCTCCGTTAAATGCTTCCTTATTTTCTGGCACAGATGTTCTAGTCTCACCTTGTAGTAAATTTTGGAATCAACCATTTCTTGAGGGCGCCCTGATTCCTTTTAGTGGAGACTGGTGTTTAGAAACCAAGACCTGAGCGTTTGGTAGGCTTATTGCTTCTGTGACCACTCAGCTTTCCTTCTGGAAAAGGACAGAAACCTCTTTCACGCGTTCCTGTTCTGTCTGTATATATACTGCATAACCTGTCTGTGTACCGATGGCTCTGATCCCTGTTGAATACCACGGAGTTTACTCCAGCGTTTCCCTTGCCTGCATTTTTCAACTCCCTCCTCTGACAAGAATCTGGAGGCCCATAATATATTTACAAACTTGATCAATCCTAGGATCTATTAAGTAATTAAGTAATTTATCTTTACCACCTTAGCAGGGAAACCCTACTAATTAGATTCAATAATTGTTAATAGCTCCTTTTATCTTTAGCTTGAGTTTATATATTCCAGTACTGTATTAAAAGAGTTACTTGAGTTTTATTTTTCCTCTTCTCGCTGGTTGTGTTACTCAAAACAGACTCGTTTAGTTTTGTTTTGGTTCTGTTCCACTTTATATTTTCTCCCCAGCTTGTCTAGTTATTGATTTAGTTTTTTTTTTTTTTTTTGAATATGTGAAATGTAGCAGTTTGAAAAGTAAAGCTGCGTGTGCTACAAAAACACATACTCAGCAAGGGTGGCTGCCCCCCACCACCTTTATGAAATTCATTTTCCAGGCCCTCTGGCTCCATTTTCACCGACCTTGTGGTGATGACCAAACTCAGTACCTTCTTTTTTTATCTTTTCTGAAATTCTTTTTGGCCAAATGAGATGATACCAGGCTTCTTTTATTGGTACTTCTTACACCAAATGTAACATACTTTTTCACATTTTGCAGTTTAAAATTTGCAGTTTTTCCTGGAACTTCATACCACATCCGTTCATAAAGGTTTTCTTCATTCTCTTATAGCTGCCTATTGCTCTTTAGCTGAGACATACCAAGTTCATGTAACTACTTCCTTACACATGGCCATTTAAATTGTTTTCAATACAGACATTGCTACAGGGATGTGCATGTGTATGTTCATCTTGTTGGAGACTTGGCTTCAGTTTCTAGGAATGGGGTCTCTGAGCCTATACAAATGCCTGTCTAGTTTAGTTCGTTGTTGCCAGATTCCCTCGGATCTGCATTCCCTCCAGCAACACCCAAGAAGGTCCATTTCCTCATAACCTTGACAACAAAGTGTCTTGTTAATACCTTTTAACATATGCCAAATTTAGCAAATGCTAGTATGTATGGTAAAAGCACTATTCCATAGATTTAATTATTTGAAATTGATTTTTTAAGAATACTTTTAGGTTTACAAGAAAATTGTGTAGAGAGTATTTTACACAGTTGCCCAGTGCTGCCCCCCAGCCCTCAACATCTAACTCCGGGGAGGTTCATCTGTTACATCCGATGAGAGACACCCGTGGACACCCGTGGACATATAGGAGTCATTCTTTATATTGTATGTTCTGTAGGTTTTAGCAGATATGAAATGGATTCACCATTTATTCTTTTGTTTGTGTTTTTCAGAAACCAGGTAGAACTGGTTTCGTAAAAGTGAACTGTCCTGACTTACGTAAAGAGTTTTGGTAGAGCTGAATCCAGATTTCCAAAGGATGGTAGAGCCTTCACAGGGCTCTGCTTTTCTCAGCATGGCTT